GAATAATGGTTGTTGTGGATAATCACAAGTTATGAACATAAGTGATGCTTGTCTATCCTTATTCAATCACTGAAAAGTCCACTCAAATTATGAACGATTAACATCTTTGATAGATGTTGATTTTCTCAAATTCGAGAGTATAACACTCAAAAGATATTTCAACTTTGACTTTCAACCGAGTTACTTGATTCATATCAGGCTGAAATTTGTAGTCATTCAAAACTATCAACAGCACATAATTTACACATTAATTAGATTGTATGGAATTTTAAGAGGGGAGCTTATTATTAGACAGTAGAGTGTTGACTGACCCTCGAAATAAAATAACTTCTGAGGACTGAGAAAGCTGATATTTCATGATTCGATTTGCTGAGTGTGTAACTTGGAGAGCTAGTCAGGATTTGTGGGCAATCGAATCTTTAGTCTGAACCAGTTAAAATAAATACACGGAACTTTATCCTACTACAGAGCTAGCAATTGGATTAAGGGGTCTGATTAAGTCTTAATTTCATGCCACTGTATTGACCTGCTCGACAATGATAAAAACAATATTAATAAACTGCTGATAATAACCATTACTTCAACAAAGAATGTGAGACAACAGTGCGCTACTTCAAGCCACTGTATGCCGCAGTGAAAACTATCAAGATATATATCCTTTATTATGTCTCAACACTTGTGAATAATTAACTGCCATAAGAAAACTCAGAAATACCAGAATATGTCAGGATCGTGATACTCTAACGATAGCAAGCATCTGATAATCAGCAACAGGAATGTTAAGTCCTAATTTTGTTGTGAGGCGGTAAGATTTTAAGGTCAAATTTACGGGCAGGTTTTTGAGATTGACATGAGAGCTATGCCTGGTATTGTATAAAACATGTGTCAAAACATGATGTCAAAAAACGTCAAACGTTTACCACTAGGGAAACTTTCGTTAGTTTCGCCAACAAATACCTACTGAATTCGATAGCCAAAATGGTAATACCAAAGAAAGTAATGTTTAGCTACAGAGGAGCAATGGCATGTGAGATCCTTGGATATTTAAAATTATTATGCACCAATACTGGCCCTTAATGAACCAAGTACCTTTTTGGATATGTACAAAAATGTAACCAGTATGATTGTAGTCAAAACTAAACAGTGATAAAACATTGACCAGGTCTTATTATTTTATTAACTACGCACTAAATCTGAGTTTATCACACAATACCTTGTACGTGATGGAAAATTTAAATGTAAAACCAAAACAGTCCTTCCATTACGACTATATCTATTTCGTTAGAAACAAATATCGCATCGTCGGAATTTACATTGGAGACAGTCCACGGAAGAAATAAGGGTCCGAAAAGACAGATCAATGACTGGATTAAAATCAATATAAAACAAAGGAATTTTAACGAAGTGCATGACCGAGTAGTTTGAAACAATAGGATTTAGTCTGCTAAGTTGTTTTTACAGTGTAGTACTACGATGAAGTACGACGATATTATAAGAAGATTCGATCAAGTAATTATTGCAAGATATCTCCATGGAGATATCTTGCACATACATATGTATACGGAAACACTGGAATTCGTGAAACATATGGACAGATTTCACGAATAAAATAACAGGGGCTTGGTTTCATTGCTTACAGAACAAATTCTTGTCTCAAATTTTCGAAGTATAACGGAATTAACATATCCAAAGGCATGATATATAGTATATATGTCCAAATACATCATTAAACTTATATCACTAAATATAAAAATGTAAACTTTGGAAGTAAAAGGTTGGGACCAATATTCGAAATATACACACTAACATGCTATATCCAGTAATTCAATCACTGAAAAACGAAGTCAACCCTTCGAAGCTGAACCTCAAGGTCAAACATGCGTATCCAAACATAGCTGGTAATTGTGAAATATACTGTATACAATGATGTATTATCTACTCTGTATATCTGATAGCGTTACATGAACTTCAAAAAGAGTAGCTGAATACTTATAAATGTTGGGGAAAAACTTAAAACTTCGTGGGAATGGCTCTGCGTAGGTTCATATTGGTGCATTGAGTTTAGATAGTGATAACCCATGTTGGCCCCTTACTTCTCTTGTTCTGAGTAGTGTCTAGTCTCTTTTGAATGAGGTTATGGAAGGCACAGATACCATTTGTTCTAGCAGCTGGCTTCGAAATTTGACAACGCTGTTAGACTTCTGAAGTCTGCTATTGGATCTTTCATATCAGCTGTTGTTCATCCTTATCATGAAGTCGATTCTAATGAATTCTCCAGTTAATATAAGAAATATGCCTTAAGTGAAGCAAAATCATTTAGAATTTGGGAATGTGAAGATTCAACGTCAAATCATCGGGAGGATAGTGTTGAAAAGTTTATACTTCAAATTCTAGATATTAGTGGTTTCAGTACACAACCGACGTGGTGATTGTACACAATCTCAGGACCCAGGTGAGTCTGTTCCTATTTTACTTGTTAATTCTGGTACTAATGAGCATATTCTAGATCATACAGAGTCTACATCCGGTACAAATTCTGACAGACACAGGATAAATTTAAGAAGACGTCCAATCGATTGCAGGAATCCGCATTCTCATTCAAGCTCTGGAGGGTGTGGTGTTTGTATGAATTAATGATTTCTTTGTACTTGATGACTATCTGATTGAGGATTCCAAATATAGTACATTTGTTCGTGCTCATCTAGTTCCTCTTGGTTTAAATCACGCAATTTCGGGATTCCTAGTTTGTTTAATAACTCAAATACTTCCAATTATCACGAGTCATCAAACCATCCTTCAAAACAAGGAAGGTACCACGAGGAATGTAATGCAGTGCTATGTACTCACAAATGACGGTAACTAAGATGACCAATATCGGTTTTATGAGAGTTTGTAATCGGTCGTAGAGATGTGCTCAGGAAAGGTCGGGACCAACCTGATGAGGGGCCTAAACACCAACGTTGGAATGATCTCAAAATATAACGCGGAGGACACCAACACAATCACACTTCGTGGAGAATCTCTGAAAGAAGTTGGTAGTTTCACGTACTTGAGCAGCATCATCGATGAACAAGGAGGATCTGATGCCGATGTAAATGCAGAGATTGGCAGAATAGTGGCAGAATTCATGCGATCGGGAGATCAGAATAGCCATCAAACAAATGAAGACTGAAAAGGCAGAAAGACCTGACAACATTCTAACTGAAGTAGTGATATCTGACATAGAAGTAAACCAAAGATGCTTCACGTTCTAGTAGAATAAAGGCTTCTTTTTCGATGATTTTAAGTAAATGAGACACAATATTAACATCCTTGATATCTTCCTTGGTCAAAGTTCAGATTTCGAACCTTTCCATATAATCCTCAAAGCACCAAAAGTTGGATGTAGGTCCAACTGTCTCATCAAATGTTCCATCGCGACGCCAATGTGATCAGAAGCATTTGAATTATGAACTATGAATCCCTGAAATAGCTCAATTTAAACCAAGGAGAACTAGGTAAGAACAAACAAGCCTATTGTATTTAGAACTCAAATCAGGCAATCGTCAAGTACAAAGAACCATTAGTTCGTACAATCACCACATGACCCGGTTTCCATATGATTCTCATCCTGTAAGTGCTTTTCGTGCTTCTCTAGACAGCATCAGTGCAACTTTTTATGTGTTCGGAGCACATTCTCCTCCTTGATCAGAGTACAACAACATCTCTTCGAAATGTAATCTCTTCTGTCCAGCTTGGGTCCAATCTTTAGTAGCATTGATAATGAATGGCAATCGCGCCTACAAATTGAGTATTTTTTATTAATCAAGTAATAAACAAACAGTCGTCTCACCAAGATCAGAATGAATTAGTTGAGTAAAGCGAATTTATCAGCTGTCAGTTATGGACTACGAAAAACAGGAAAGACTATCAAAAATAGACTACTCAGGGATACACTTTTGGTCTGTTTCTTTTTTGGGTAATGCCGATCGACAACAAACGCTTTCGTAGTTGTTATAGCTCATTGTCTTAAAATAGTATTTACTCAGCAGGTCGTTTTATTTATTAAAAACATACAATAAGAAGGACCGATAATTTCGGTTTCCAAACTGTTAGTAATACTGGATGAGAGGCTTTAGAGTTGTTTAAGAAGTATCACACCCTTCTGAGGAGTTCAGACAAAGCGATTATAAAAGGTACTTAGAGTGAGAAATAAACCCTCTCCATCTGGCTTGGAAGCGCCGAAATTTCAACCTCTGCAGGTAGATAAGCAGTGATGTGACCACAGTGAATAGGATCCCTCATAACTATCATGATCATTGTGAACTACCTCCACTCTTCAACGCTAAATAAACTTTTGTATTGCGTCACTTAAATCTACAAAAATGCTGTATATACATAGAGATAAATATCCTCGTGATGAGAGCTTTAGAAATGTAAGACACAATTCTCCACTTCATGGTGGGGTTATTTCATGTCCATTCCTCATTAATGCGGTTCGATATATACCTTTGTACCAATGATACTAGAAGATATATCTACGGTTTATCATAAAACAGTTTCTTTACAGTATAGAAAATGTTCAGCAGTATGTGTTCACTGTGGTTATAGACAGTAAAAACACAATTATCTTCATTTGAGACTACGTAGTCATTCAGTTTCTTTGTTACTTTAGGTCAGCACCGAAGATGTGCCTCAGATGGTGAGTTGACAGTGAGTTTGATCACCAGAAGTGGTACAATTGAAAATTAACCTGTTGAAAGACTTCAAAAAACAATAAACTTACATAAAAGCATTAGATCTCACAGTTATTGATCAATATATTGTCTTGTTGACAATATTGTTATTCAATCATTTAGTCCAGTAATTTGAAGTAGAAATGGGTTTAAAAGACGTTTGTACTGTGAAAAGAAGAGTTATAATGAGTAAATTAATTGATTATATATTTTTGTTTTAGTCATTCATTTGAATAAAAAGAACAAATTACATGCAGCCTTGTGAATTATGTGATGAGTTTCGGAGGTTATATCAAAGAGGTGACTGCATTACTTTTAAGTTTCCGTGCTTATTATCGGATACTGCTTTGAGCTTATTTATATTTAAATCTCTCAGCATAACCTATTGTTATGGATTTTAAAGTATTTAAACATAGCATCACTCAACTGTAATTTATCCTCCGCAATGATAAATGAAATAAATTCCTAAAGTTTTCGCAGTTGCATGTTCAACTGTGAATTTATCTTTACTTACTTGATTGTGATTCAGAGTAGATCATCAAAAAATTCGAATTCATCTATATATTTATACCTTTCCTTTGTTAACCTTTAAGTTTATTCTAGTTATTATTTCTTTTAAGAGTTATTATGCGGTTATATGCTTTCATTCCTCCAAGCTAATAAAGATTTACTTACTATGCAGTAGAGGTTGCTACGTAGTGAACGAAATGCTGTGATCGATTTACTAATATGTTGTGCACTAACGGTTTTATGAAATATCATTTAGCAATGGAAATTGACTAACAGTGATATAATGATGGACCTGGATATTTGAATCAATTTTAACGTAGTCTATATGTGAGCGGTGGCAAGATTTTTACAAAGAACTATCAACTTTTAGGTTTGTATTCGATGCTTTTCGATAACTTGTGTTGTACTCGCTAAGTTGTGTAGATAAATCATGTATATACGAACAGGCTAAAAACTTGGCGATGGCAAAATCTTCTGCATCTGCCAAGGAAATTTATTAAGTCAGAAAATAGTACCTATCAAATGATTAAGCTTTAAGAATTTTCAACTAAATCAGCTTATTACCGATACAACTGTGCTAAGGTAATAATTAAGAATTTAAGATCACCTCACCCAGCTTCTTTAACCTCTCCATATGCATGAGAAACAACAGTTGTTGGCAAAAAAATTACAAGGGGTTTTTTAAGAAAGCAGCTTTTGATTAAAAACTACAAAAATTAAGCTCGGCATAAGTTGAAAAATATTTAAACTGATAGACCTCACCCCATCGTTATTTTTTTAGTTACTTTCTCCAGGACCTGTAATAACGTTCTGTACAAATGTGGACAAACAGTCAAAAAGATGTCCTAGAAAGTCATCTGAACGGATCTGGTGGACAGAACTTCGTAAATAACAGCAGCAGTTTAAGCTCATACGCAACGTTCAATGGTAAGTTTTATTAAAACTAAAAATCGTTATTGAGAGATTCTGAATCGAGTCCAATCCTTGAACCGAGAGACCCAAAATTTGGTACTAAACTATGGCCATCAAAAACGGGCCTTAATTGTCCAATTTGTCAGCATGATTTCTGCTTTAGCATGCTTTTGTGTACTACTGAACAAGAACAAAATGGCTTAACAGAAAACTCTATGAAAGTAATTCGTGATTTGCATTCTAGACTTCATGGTGTTTCACTTGTAAGTGTCTTGAAAGTGCTTTGAATTATAATTTTTCGTTGATATACTAAAAGATTTGTTATGAGCTATTTTACGGGAATATGACTGATTTTTATCTATAGACGGTTTCTAACCCAAAAGCTGGCAAGCATATAAGACAATAAACTTAGACGTTGTTTACTATAATTAGAAAAATCAATGACTGTTTCAAATTAAACCCCTTTTCCGCTTTGAATAAGATTTTTAGTATAGATAGCAAGTAGCATTTTTTGTTTCCTTTTCAAACACCTAAAGTAGTAGTAACAATAAAAATAAAATACGTTACATTATTGAGATCCCTAGATAAGTGTATTTAGTAGATTTTATTCGTTAGACAAGATGTATTAGCTTAAAATCTGGTTTCTTTAGGTTCACTTAGGTCTTATTCGATTAAACTCTGTCACTGGTCTTAGCTGTTAGTAATACTACAAATGTAACGTACCTCATCTACATCGGTGCTGTAGTTCAATTTTATCCACCTGAATACTGTTTTTGCTCTATTCATAATAGTGTTCACCATGTGGCTTTTTTGTTTGCCTTTTTCTATCTGTTCAAAAACACCCATAAGCGCTCGTTGTTAGTTTTCCTTTTTTAGAAGTTATGATTTAAAACCACATAATAGGACAAAGAGAACTGTTGTGTCCCACAATCGAATGCCCCTCTATGATCATAAGTAGAATATATTGACAAAACTCAAACCGACCCACCTATTTTAGTACAAACTCTAATAAATCAAGCAGATGGCAAATTTAACCGGCTAATGTCATAAAATTACGTTAGTTTCCGCCTTGAGATATTTGTTTAAATCGTTTTCATATTCAGAAAGTCCCAGATAAATATCAAATGTTCTCACGTATTTGATAAACCATCCATTTTTTACTTCGAATAGCTCCTTGTTGATGTATAAAAAAATAGATCTTTCTATACAAAGGCAACAATAAATCATTATGGTCTCACAAAGCTTCAAGCTGATTGTTTTAGAAACTCATATTTCTATTTAACACTGTCACCTAGTTGTTTCTAAGCTTTGGTTGATTATTCGCGTTAACATTCCCTGATAATTGATCGCTCTGAATAAATTATTTTTGTGCAGCAAAATCCAACGCACATAAAAATCTTGGTATATTAAATAAAAATACAGCACCTTTGGCAACGTTTTTGGGATCATAGCAAACCAGTCCTATGTGGCGATATACTAAGTAATTCATCGTTGTAAATGCCTCATACCTCATGTTGTCTTCTTCAAAAAGAGTATTATATGCCGGTAAACAATAGTCAGCCCGAAAAACATCTTCAGAAGCTTGCCGCTCACCCGAATCAGTATTCAGATGTCACTACTTGCATATATAATTATCTTGTAATGTTTTGAATATATTGTAGGGAAATTGGCAAGCCAAATAGTTTTGCAAATTATACGGAATAACCGGCCAACCGCCTATATTTTTTGCGGCAGTAAAAACTTACAATCCAAATCTCCCGGTTTTTAAGTATTCCAGTATTTTATTCTGTCACAAAAAATGCTCTTAGCTTGTGGAGGGTTTGCGAGCTAAAACTTTAGTGAAACAATAATACTATAGGGTGGATATTCAAGATAAGTGTTTTAAGATTTTACTTGACGACATCTCACCTGATTTTCTAGCGCAAAATAAGACAAAATGCAAGAGAAATATATAGTTGCTGCAGGAAGCCACGAATAATTTATATGATACATATACATAGTTTTCAGTCGTCCATATGCATATTTCATTGTGATCTGCCATCTGAACTGTCTTTTCATCTGGTCTCCAAGTATTCGATGCATTGAAATTCCTTACTCCGTCTGAAAACTGCTGTAACCACAACGCCACGCTTCGCTACACGCTGCTTGCAAACATTTTTGTGAGTAGCGTCCATTGCACTAGTGTCTAAGATATAAAAGTGAATTAACAGTGAAATAATGCTCTATTTTGTTGGTATTCGAGAATGCTAACGCTATCAGTGGATATTACTGCATCACTGTGGTTTACTTAGAAGAGATATCTGATAAAAATTATTTTATCACTAATCAGTGTTGTTTTACTTTTACTTTATGCCACAGGAATGTACCGTTCTGAGGTCAGAACTTGAAGTTCTTTACAAGGCATTTAATTCAAAGTGTCAGGCAGTCAAGATTTTAACGAATAATGTAAGTAATATCAAAACAGATTATTAATGATTTTGATGTGCCAACATCCCATCATGTGTACGTATATTGGCCTATGAACAGTATTATCTAGCTTCTGATCTTTATCGTCATTAATTGATGCACTTATCAAGACTGTTGGTCATCGGTTAAAGTTTAGACAATTGAGTCGTAGAGCTGCAGATTTATATTATTAAATGTTGGTAGTTAATTTATGTTAATGACGTTAGTGTAACATCAAATCGCGAGTATAACTGTATAACTTTATTTGGTAAATGCACTGATTCTAACTCTGACCATATGACCTTTGGATAATCTTGTCGATGAATAACATTACCTTTGACTACTTAAAACTTGGACAGAACAAATTAAAAGTATCACCACACTGCTTAAAACGTACGGAAAAATATGGGCGGCTAAGGGTCAGTAAGAACCGAATAGTTTGAAATTGTGATGTTATTTTTCAGATGGACGAATGTTGGTCATTATAAATAAGGATATAATGTAAATCTTTTAAAATAACAAGGATAATAGTATGAACGAAATCTTTACGTTTTAGTTGAAGGTAATCGAGCATGATGTGCCAAGAAGGGTAGGAATACACGTCGTACAAAGATGAAAAAAATATGGCAGAAGAATGAGTCCTTTAAGTACCACCAAGTAATTACAGTAACTCACGCAATAAGGGTCCTGAATTAATTTTAACTGTTGAAAACTAAAACTTCATTAATCTATGTGTTTTCCTAATTAGTTTCCAGACAAATTAAGCAGTTTTGCATACGAAGCGACTGAAATCCCATATTACTGACTTAGTTACATAAAATGAAGACTATCGTTCTCTATTAATGAGTAACACGAAAGCTTTGGTCTAGATACTATAGCAAAGGGTTTGAAATGTGTAGGAGGATCTAAAATGATTTCATCCACTTTACTATTACCGATTTTGGGCCATGTCACACCTAGTTTTTAACTATAGATTGTGATTTTCTCGCAAAGCCTACCCGGTAAACCTCTATCACCAACATTGCTCAAATCAGCAGTCATACACAAATAACGTGTTTGTCCTCCCTATTCTTTAAAAAGCCACCTTTTATTCCATCCCGTAGGATGACCTGAGATAGAAGATAGCTGGAACCGTTAGTAAAAACAGTGTTCAGGTTAAGAACATGACATTAACTACGGTGAACAAGTCATCGGAAGTAACGTTAACATTTTCTCGATCGATAACAGCATAATATTCATCCCGTAATACCTACCATAATAATCAAAGTGACAACTAATTAATAAAGAAGTAATATGTGGTTAAGCTCTTTTCAGAGGAGCACTCACTATTGTTCTGCAATAATTATGCTCCTATTCTAAACAGGGTGTTCGTCAACAGCTGATTAACCCATTTTTAATTTCGCTTTTGGGAAGAAGGAGAAAGTAAACCATAATCGTTTAACTTAATTTACTAAATTAAAAGTCATCATTTGAACATGAATTATTTCTCCTACGACTCGGTTGTATTTATTTGAAATCATACGTCCACTAAAATTCCACTTCTACTCAGTTTCTCAAAGAGTTAAATCATTATTAGCTATGAAGAGTCATACTGTGAACTTCAATAAGAGGAAGCAATATATTTTGTAATTTACTCAAAATATGATAAGGCATTACCTACTAATGAATAAACAATGGATAATTTCGTTGAGGAAAACTTTATAGACAATGATTTAACAATTAATTTGATTTCATGATTAATAGAGGAAAGTAGTCGAATCTAAAAACTTCATACTAGGTTTTAAATAACCACAGGATGCACATTTACAAAAATTTGCTAATATCTTTTTGAATAGTAGTTCATTTACATGAATTAACTGTTAAATCTCTTAGCAAGAAAAACATAATTTTACGAAATGTTACTAGAAATATGTTTTCCAAATAACCACTTAGTTTCTATAATCTGCATTATTGTAAAAATACTTTATCTTCAATTCACGTATATACTGTACATTAAATATTTCTGGAATCTTCATGTTAACCAATATTGTTGTGGATATTTTGATAAAAATCTAGGGTTCGCATAGATACTCACTGGCTTCATAAATATCAGCTGTCTTGATAATAAGATTTTTATTTAAATATGATAATACTGAATTCATACCCTTCGGATAAAGCACCAATTTGAACTGTAAGTCATGAATTAACGAGATAACTGTTTCATTAAAATCATGGACCGACCGATGTTAGACCAACAAAAAACTGAAAGCACCGGGTGGCCATTCCATCCCAGTATGGAACTCCTTGGCAGTGCGCATCAAGAATTCCACATACGAGACTCGGGCCCAAGACTATTGGTTTCGCGAGAACGCTTAACCTCTAGACCACTGGGCAGCCACCCAACTATGCCATTGTTTAACTTCAACCAATCCACTACATCACGCGACAATATCCCATTGTCTTTGATGGATAACTGCCTCAGCCGACATGGTTGAGCTCCACTGGCCACGGCTTCTCATTAGAATTCAAATAACTCCCTTTCGGAGCTAGTCACAAGTGGACACATGGTAAGTTTTAGTTTATTGTTGTGGAGATCGTCAAATGTCATTGAAATAATTGTTGTTAGTAAGTGAGTACAAGACAGCCATTTCATCTTATGAATTATGTGTCATAACAGGCCATATTACAAATTAAAATTTAGATTATGCAGTCTGAATGATTTATGCTCAGTTACGTGGTCACTAGCGAATCTTTACTGCTTAACAACATGTGTGTCTACTAATAGAAAGAAACACCTATACAATACTATTTGATCTAAATAATTTCTCTATTCATATTGTAGTGAATTATTCCGTGAGAATAGTTAATTAAGTAAATAAGTGATCTTTAAAACGAGTAGAAATTTTTAACCTTTAATTACAAACCTTTTAAATATAATCAATGAGATCATACTGCTTTCGATCCTAACTCATTAAAAATGCTTTTCTACTCAAGCGGTTTTGTGAAAATGTTTGTACAATTGATAAACAGCTTTTCTCATGAACTGATGTCAATAGGCGAACTGTAGTGAAGTGAGAAGCACTGTAGATCTTTTTTCCCACTTGAACGCTATTCGGAAGTGCATATCTGTAGCTTCATACAGGGCTAGACCCAAGATTTCGATTTAATAAATAAAAAGACGCATTGTCTTATAAAGATTTAAAGCGCCAGTTTCTAAGTAAACGCATCAATACTGCCTAACCTGATTCTGTCTTATGTCCACGGATTTCTATTCTTTAGCTTCTGCATTTTCAAGAAGTTTGAGGTGTAAAGTAAACTGAGGTTAAAGGAGAGATCCTTGATCTGTATTGTAATAAAAACTCTCTACAATCCCATTTTTTATACACACATATCAGACGATATTTTGCTGTAAAAGTTTTTTACTTCATTGAGTGATGAGAGTAACAATGAGTCCGTGTTAATATGACTATATTATCCAGAGTGTCTTCATAAAGGACTTCACCCAAGGTCTAAATTCCAATTATTTCTAATCCAATTGAATCCCTTGACCTGATCTTCTCAGTGTGTACTATTCCAATTTTCCTCCTTCTAGCAAAAATTAAAGTACACATTAGTTACTTTCAAGAAATCTGATGTTGGAATACACTAATAAGTTTTCGTTAACTATGTTTATTTATCTCCCTCACCTGATAGTTAAATATGCGATTCAGTTAAACCAAACCTCAAGTGAACTATGAAATATATATGACCAATTTATTAATGTAATTCGATATGATAAAGATTGTTTGTTAAATAAACTAGTGTTAATTACTCAATCATTTAAGTTGTATTGATCCACTCTAGTTAACTAACCTAAAGCGTATGATCAGTAAACCTATTAGATATAATACTTTATGGTTAAGATTAAATTTAAATGTATTAAAGATTTCATTACTGAGAGTTTCTATGTTTCTCCACCCAATTCCCTTTAAATATGAATTGAATCATAGGTACCAGTCAACTAATTAACTTCCTATTCGTTCTAATACTGTCCAATTGTTATTTCGTACCCTTTTATTTTACTTACACTTGTTACTCCCAATGGAGCAGCATTCTCCAACACACCCTCACAGAGCACTAATCTTGTGTATGTTTGGTAGCAGAAGTTGTTGTGGCCATAGACGCTTTTAAGTACCGGTCGATAAGTATAATTACCAAATTAGATTTATCTGGCATTTCAACTGTATTCAATTTGTTTGCTTATTTAAAGAACTTTACTAAACTATGCAATGAAGAAATCGGTCAGATTTGACGATAAAACTCAATGTGTAGCTATACTCTTCCTGTAAATAATACAAATAGAATAATGTAGAATATGAATATCAGAGAGGGAGAATATGGGTAAAAAGGAAGTCCTTCCTAAACAATGCATTCAAGGAAAATAATAGAAGATGAGCATTTAGAAACCGGATTATCTTCTATAAACAGCAACTGACTCATTAATATGTGAAGAAGTGATCATCGCCTTGGAAATGAATCTATGATCGTCCTTCCTGTTGGCTTGGCACTACCACTCCGTAAACACCAAAGTGCACTCTACTCAAATGCGTATCCCAAAAGTATCCTGCCTAATAAACGATTCAAGTTAATTAATAGTTTTATTTTTCAATATCTGATTTATTTAAATAATATTGTTTCATCAAGATTTACCCTTAAGAAAATCGCTACGGTCAAACCCGATAGTTAAGACGAAGTGCTAACATGCCAGTTATGCAAAACAGTTTGTTAGAAACTCACATACTGAAAAGGAAATACACTACAAAACAGAAAAACACGAGTAATATCTCCCTAACATAAGAAAATGCAATCTGTCTATCCTCTTATTTCTATATAGGCATAATACAGCGTTCTTCATTTCTTGTTATTAGTTTTATTAATGTCTTTGATATCCTTTGTATACATCTGTTACCACCATTTTCATTTCCTGTCGCTGATTTATTTCACATGATTAACTTTTTTGAAATTCTTTGAGTCCATTCAATCTACACCTAGCTTTATATCACTTTGTTGATTAATACACAATCTCGTTTCATACCCAAAAATAGATTTACCATTCTTATCATGACCGTTTTTGCTTTGACCATATAATTTTATTTCATTGATAATAGTTAAACCATAAATTTACGGTGGACTTAGTTACACTTGTACAACTTTTATAAGAGACGTCTTTGAAGAAGAAAATATTTACGAAACAGCTAAAATATCCAGGCATTCCTAACAATATACAACACTTGTGAATGAATAGAAACTAACTTGTCTTATACAAAATAGTTGGCTATATGGAGTAAGATTTCTAAGGATTTGGACGAATAACTGAATCAACACTTCAAATTAAGAATGAGATTAATTTTTTAATTTAAGAATAATAAATTCAACGATTATTTTAACTGGTATTTGACATATAGAAGATGGATAAATTTTATTCTTCATCAGAATGAGTTTTAACTTAATTTTCGAAGTTAAATTCACGAGTCGATGTAAGCTAGACAACCATTGAAAACTTGGAAGCACTGGACGGTCGTTTTGTCCCAGTGTGGGACATCTCAGCAGTGCGCATCTACGATCCCGCATGCGGGACTCGAGTCAAAGACCTCCGATCTTGCTTAACCTCTAGACCACTGATCCGGCTTCCAACGGTGTTAATGTCTAATTTTAATCGATCCGTGATCTTGCATAACCATCCATCCGTTGTCTGGGGTAGATACCTGTTTCCACCTGATTCGGATCGGACTCCTCTAGTCACAGCTTCTCTGTAGTGCTGAGGAGTCCCATACTAGGACGGAAGGTCATCTAGTGCTTCCAATTATTCAACTTATATCGACTCATGGATTCAATTATTAAAATTTATTTTTATCAAGAGTTTTTAACATACTTTGCAAATAAACGATCGAAATTTCCTATTTTATGAAAGCCACACGGCTAATAGACGACTTATTTAATATTTTTGTGATTGTGAACTAATGTCGTCTGGAATCCATTGAAAGCAAAGGAGTATTCAAATATAACAGTATGCTCTCTATGAAGCCTGAAGGTTCAGTCTTGAATGAAGTCATAGGTGTATATTGCGCAAAACCAGAAGGCTGTGACCACCGGACTTTTATATCTCCCAAACAGAACAATACCATTTGATTTCTAAGCATTCTGCGAATGAAATTTGTTTCCGGAGAAATTTACAAATAAACATCTCAGTATATTCAATGGCGCTTGCTGTAACCATTCTTTTGTTTACTTTAATACACATATAAGAGAAAAGAAACGTCTCCTATGAAAAGACGACAAAGAACCAGTCAGTCAGTCGTAAGCATCGATTCAAGTAACAACACCAAACCAGCTCAGAGAGATGAAAATATTAAAAGGAGGGCAGTAATAGTATCAGCGGTAGTGGTAATATTAGTGATAATAGTAATCATAGTTAATATAGGCTACAATAAAAATCAAATAAGTTATTCATCATTTTATTATTATTGTCGTACACACTGAAATTTTAAGTAGTTGAGATTTTTTATCACATGTTAACTTTATTGAATAATGAAAGAAATGTCATTTACATTTTATAAAAAACATACAGAGAGTTGAGTAATTATGATGGAATTATTATCAATATGCCTATAAATTTAGTGACTAATAAATTTTTAGCTATTTAGTTTCCTCTTGTACATTAATTCAAACGAAAAAAGTGTGTTATATCTAATGTACACGTGAAACTACGTATGCTTTCATCATTCATAAACATAAATGTATTATTAATAGCAAACTACTAAAATGATACAGTCATTTATTAATTACTAACATTTGTAGCTGAAAATTGAAAATACTTAATGTCAATTAAAGTTTTACATGTACTTGTATGGATATCAATATGTATGTTCACTTGCAGAAAGAATTTTTTCAGTATGTAATCATGATATTGTGTATGTTGTTCTAAGTGTTATGTCATTAATTTAATCTGTAGAGCGATAGATACACGTAAATATTGTCAAAAAGTTCTAGGATAAAAATACTTTCACCTCATAGTCCTTCAGGTTTATGCGTGGTTTATTAAGTGATTGGATTTTGGAATGATAACTGATTTCGAAAATAAAAAGTAGAACAAAAGCAATGTTAAACAACTAGAGAAAAAAAACTATCAGATGTTTTGTTGGGATATAAGCTCTAGGATTATTAAAATACTCAGTGATTACAATCTCAAATGGTTCACTAGATAAGATATTATGTTAGGTTTGGTCACAGAACTCTTAATATTCACAATAAAGTTTATTATCATAAAAAACTGGTCTATTTGTTCCAAAGCAAAATAATTCCAAGTATTGTTTTTAAAACACTATTGAATATCCGTCAAAATAAATCAAATGTATCGCTTACGCACAGTCTTTGAAAATTTAGTAGATTGGAATAAATATGGAGGCTCCCGAACCATGATATGGTATTAGTTCTTGAAATCATTGGCTGTTTCACTGAACCATTTAGATAGATGTAAACTATCTGATTGGAGTTCATGTGATTATCGTGAGAGATAGTTGAAGACGTTGTATGATATGGCTCAGAATCGGTCGCAGATGGCCCAGATTAGTCCACTATTTATCTTCCCTTAAATCGTGAATCGCTTTGTCGAAACCTAACCTACAGTTGAAGAACATATGGAACTCAAAACAAATTTCAACCAATATCAAAGTGAGAATCTGCAATACGAATGTCAAGGTAATTCTACTGTACGGAGCTGAAACTTGGAGAACTACAACAACCATCATCAAGAAGGTGCAAGTATTTATAAATAGCTGTCTACTCAAGATACTAAACATCCATTGGTCGGATACCATCAGCAACAGCCTTTTGTGGGAAAGAACAAACCAGCTTCCAGCTGAAGAGGAAATTAGGAAAAGACGATGCAAATGGATAGGACATACACTACGCAAATCGTCAAACTGCATCACGAGACAAGCCCTGACTTAGAATCCTGAAGGAAGGCGGAAAAGAGGAAGGCCAAAGAACACATTACGTCGGGAAATAAAAGCAGATATAAAAAGGATGAATAACAACCGCAAGGAGCTGGAAAGGATTGCTCGGGACAGGGTTGGATGGCGAGTGCTGGTGAGCGGCCTAAGTTCCTTCACGAGGAGTAACAGGCGTAAGTAAGTAAGTAAAATAGCAAAATGTTGCTTTGGCTAATTGATATACACTTACTACAATGATTAAAATATCAAGAACAAAGGTTTGTAGATGAGCTCTGTAAATGATAGTGTAGGAGAGCTTTAAGTTACACCGCAACCATTAAACATATAACCATATTATTAATATGACTAATAATAATAATAATTACAATGAGAATAATCATAATAATAATTGATCATTAATACTCTTGTTTTACTAGAAAAATTTTAATGAGAGTAAACAAATAAGACAACTTAAACAATAATTGACTTTAAATAAAATATAATTTTCTTTTATGAGTGTGGTGGCTTAATGGTTAGAAAAGGCAGAACCTTCGACTAATAGTCTACAGCTTCATACCTACCTACTCATACATATATTTCAGTTTAAGCAATCCCATTGTATTAGTAACTCTCACATATTAATAATGTGTATTTTAAATTTATGTTTCATAAGGTGAATATTTACTTTTAAGTAATTCTCGTTTTTCCTAAAAATAAAATTTATTATCATTTTAGAAATTTCAGTCATCTGATGAAAATGGTCAAACGCGAAGTACTGTTTACGCTTCAACTGTTGAATTGGAAAAGGTTAAATTAGTATTAACATAATTATTTTAATTTGAAATTATTTTTGCAAGTATGATAAACTTGTTATCCATAATGATTGGTTGTATAAAGTGTGATACTGTCGAGGAAATACACTTCATTATATGTCATTCCGAACAAACACTGTTCACAAAGAAACATATATTGCATACTTTTTAAAGTGCAATTAAATATGTCGCTTAATTGATAAGGAATAAGTGCTCCAGATACTAAGTGTTATGCTTAAAGTAGTTAGGCAAAAAGTGATTTTAAAAATAAAGACTGTTCTTTAGCCTCATTTTAAGACCTATCAGAAGGGCAGAGAAAAGAATCCACAGAAGCTTGAAAATAATATCTTCAAATCTGAGAAATCATAATGCCTTTAAACCATGAAGTCGGAACGCAGTGATTTACATTTACAAATTTAAGCGTTTAACCCTCTAGTAGGGCAATCATTCAAGAAGTTTTGTATATATTCTCTTATACTTAACATGTTTAAACTCTACCAGTCATCATATTCACCTGGAATCCGTCTTGAAGTCAGTATATATATATATATATATATATATATATATATATATATATATATATATATATATATATATATATATATATATATATATATATGCGCCATTATCACCAGGGATCGAAATAAATTCATATAACTGCCTTCTCTGTCAAACAAGGTACTGTCATATATGAAGTTATTTCAAGTGCGTGCAGTTAATTAGAGGTTTTGTGTAGTACAACTTCATACAGACCTCTATAACAAACATTTGATCATTTGAAAAATCGACTCAAGTCTCCAAGTTATTCAGTAGTAGGTTAGATTTATTTTATAAGAATGACTAAACGTTTTTTTCAATAGAAATATTTCGTTAATCTTGTTTACGTCGACAATGTACTTTGAAAACTGATCAATATAACTTATAATAAAACATTATTTATACAAGGATTAGCTATGAAAAATACTTTAAAAATCCCTAATTAAGGTCAATCCATTTTTGAACAATTTAGGTAAGATTATCTAAGTTAATCAGTATATATGATATATCTTTTGACGACACTCAGTAAATTATACAAGTACATTTCTCAAATATTAGCTCCAATTGTAAATCTACCACAACAAATTACTTTGTTCATTCACGATAGTCTTATTTGTTTCATATTTGTTCTTACTTTTGTTAATATTGTTCACATTCGTTAAATTTTATTATTTGTTCCCAAGACTAACACGTAATGTATTGACTAAAAACGGCTTAAGTGGTTTTACAAAATCGATAAATATGTGTTGATCACAAAGCCAATTATTTACAATATTTATGAATAAAGTTTTCAGGTATGTTTTATGACATAAGTAAATAATTTGTGTCAAAACATCAAGCTACAGAGAACCTTCAGCAAAGTGATTCACATATAATGGACTACTATATATATTTCGCACCGAGTCAATTATAGATTATATCCACTAGAGGTTTTATCTTTTCAACTTTTATTTCTATGGTCTTGTGTCTTATGTGTTGAGTGGTCCAATTTGGAATCGTTCATCATAGTTTTATATAACATCAGTGCTTAACTCAAGTGAATACACCAAAATTACTCAGCAAGTAATAAATCGGACCGTTCTGATACTTTTTCCAGTGATTGGTTAACTTTATATTCGCTATCTCTATATGCATTTAAATCCCCATCGACTATTGTTTTAGACTGACCTGTAAACACATGAAAAAATAAACCTTATTCTCACTTTTTCATAGGTTAAATGTATGTTTACATACACAACTATTCGAGGTTGGCTTGAATGTCAAGTATGCAGAAATTCTTTTGAATGTTTAGTTGAAACAGGTGTCTATTTTCCTCACTGTAGCTCTACTATTTGGGACAACAGACCTTGTAAATAATGTTGAACTTTTTTATTTCATCCTTGACCCATCATTAAATGGAGTTAAATGGATACGTTAGTTAATGGGCAACACTAAATTCGTTGGTTTTCAAAATTTTAGTGATAATTTGTGAGATATTGTTACACAATAAATTGTAAAATATCTTCAGGCTTTTCAGGATGATTTTGGAATGACAGAATAATTCACCAGATATAATTTTAGTGAATTTGCTATGGTAGTTGTTATATCAAGGGGATTTGATCTTTCTCCAAGGATCATATAAATAACTTTTTTTGTGGTCTTCTGGGTTGTTACAGTTGTGATCTAATGATTGATCTGTATGATTTGACGTTCTGTTAGTTTTTGCCTCCAGTACATATAACTTCTGTCATAACGCATTAAATTTAAATGCATTAGGTAAAATTCACCTTACATTATTCATGAATACTTTTCATAGGTACCAGAATACTTAACAGTATAAAATATATGGTTGACAACCAGTCAGATACAAATAAATTCACTTTTTTTCTTCCATTAGATCTTGAGTTTCAGAATTAAATCTTACATTCTGAGGATTATTTTTTTACAATATATTTTCGTTTAGTCAGTTTAATTCACACTCAGTGAAAATAGTTCAGTATTTATTCTAGAATTAGTAGTCAGTTCCATACCTTTTTATTCACTTTCTATAAAATTAGAAAAAATATAAAAGTGTATAACCTTCTGAATGTTTAAGCTAGAATCTCTATTCAATGTTAGAATATCCTAACTATTTTTAAAAAAACATCTGATAATCATCAAAGTGACTACCTAACATCGTAATTACTAAAAAAATAATAATGACTGGCATTACCAAGATTCTACTAAAAAGCAGATACATATAGAATCAACCAGGTCGAAGACGTCCCAATTACTCTACGATTATATTTAATTAGGATGGCAATCATCTTACAGGTTGGTTTAAGTTGTAAATGTGGTACATTAGATATGCTTACGTGGCGTTGCACTCAAAAAAGCTTACAGATTCTGGTTTTGAGGTTACATGGGGTCGAGAGTGCTCAATGTCAAAGTATCCAAATCAAAAACGTAACATTTACCTACTGCTTTCCGACTTTCAGTGGTATTCCAACTGATATTAGTCCATTTTTAAACTATCACTAAACTCAACAAACCTCAATAAGCTGCCTTACTAAATAACTTCCTAATTTTATCATGCTGATATTTTCTTTTTTAACCACAATTATTCCATATTATGGATAGGAGGACAAAGTATTTTTTGTATAAATATTTGCAAACTAAAAACTTAATGATCAAAGAATATCTGTATTTTTTATTTCCAGGAAATAAACAAACTGAAAATAGACCTTGAATTAAGTAAAGGTGCTCTGTTATCACAACAGCAGTCGTCTAAAGCAAAAGTTCAACAGTAAGTAATAATTCTCATTTATATTTTCAATCATTTGCAAAAGACTTAAAGTATTAATAGTTACATTTTGAATTTATTGATATTTCGTTAATTTATAATTGATGTTCGCGTTCTGAAGTGAGTTTAATTAATAATAATGAAGTTCGTTGTTTTGTCCTCATTTATTGAGGTATTATTAAAAGTGGGAACACTAATTAAGAGATGGTTAGTTTATAAGCGGGAGCTAAGGTATAAAAAAGCTATTTGTATTTGGTTATCAACCATTAGCTTATCATTACAATGACAAGTAGCCTGAGAGATTATCGATTATGGCTTAGGATAAACTTCAGTGTCAATTCTTTTGTGATTTTTATTTTAATCCTCATAAACAATAAGATATATCTAGCTGGACGAAATTTATTTTACCCGTATTTCTACTGAAACTGTATGCTTTACCAACTTTCATATCTCTTTTTTATGACTTTTTGGCACCTGTTTCATTATATCACTGTAACTTCGTAATGAGTTTATAAATACCCTTATCACACCAAAAATATTTTTGTGATATAAATGAATCCACTTTTTTGTGTCGTATCGGAAATTGATTAAAACTATATCTTTAGTCTTCGCTTCAGTGACAAAAAGTTAGTTACCTGTTCTCAATATCTAAATGTTTGGGATTCAACACTGTTTCGGGAAAAGGAAGGTGAACATTTTTGAAGAGTCCTAAATTAGTAGGTGGTACCTATCTATCTGACGCTAGACGAAAAATATACAACCTATTAATGTATAGATATTCGTATAATTTGATAAGACGAAGGGTGTCGAAATTACGTGGTACACCTGCGCAATACGTTTCTAACAATTTGATCACATACATACTTCTTAAGACATTATATATGAAAAATAAATGTCAGCTAGACAAATGAAAAGCTAAGGCGAACCAAGTTAGTTATGAAGTACACAAAAACACCGTGAAAACCTCGCTGGAAAACAAACCAGTATTGCAAGAGTAGTTTAAGGGCAAGAACAAATTGTTCTTGAACACATAAAGGGGGTTTCGTTCTTCATATAGTCAAGGCTTATAATACGCCCCTGAAAACCTGTATAAAACTACGAAGGCTGACTTTGTATCAACCTTATAACCGGTCTGAACCAAATGTTTCGCAAGAGATGAAAATATATGTCTATCCTGTGATCTTATTTAACCATTGGGATTGATCCGTTTTTGCAGACACTTTGGTATTTGTTCAGCTACCCTTAATTGCAGCTCACGATTACTTTCCATATGTACGTGTTTTTGCACATACATGTAAACTGATAGATGTGAGGGGATGTGATACAATCGCTTACATTCTGTTTGGGTTTTTGATGAAATATAAACCTTGACTTTTTTATAACGCTGAGATAAAATGCACAAAATGTCTCATCGACAGCTAACTTAAATCTTTGTTTCATAATAAGACTATTTGAGACACCGCTGAATAGTAGGACAAGATAGACTCATTTTTCGGACGCCAAAAATATCATAGGTTTGGTCGTATCGCTACCTTTCGAAAGGTTTCTAAATTTCAATGAATAACCATTATTTACTACTGTTTCAGTCAGTAAAAACAATTTTGTTTTATTTTTTCACTAAATCACAAGTATAAATTTCTAATAACAATAAAGATAAAACTTAATAAGCTTACAAGATGAAACATAAATTATGTGAAAACGTAAAGAATTTCAAATCCAAATTGTTAGTGCATTTAATATGTAGTCACAAACTTGCCAAGTTTGATTTTTTTTTACATCAAAGCTCATTATAAACCTTCAGAATTTCAGTTGTTCAGAATCTAGAAATGATTTTTTTCAAAGTTAAGTCCAAGAATGATAATAGAAGACTGTGCTGAGATGAACAAACTAATTTTAAGGAATAAATGGAACAAACATATTAAAATTCAGTTAGAAAAAAAGTGAGGTTTTTGTTTACAGAAATGGTTAAATATGATTACATATTGTGTTGAAATGATATCTCTTGGGTATTTTCCGGGTTTTTCCTCAATCTAAAATCAATCAATTTGTAGTGAAGATTAGTTTTATGTTTAGTTGCTTAAAAAATTTCGGGAATTTCTTTTTAAAAGAATATTTAGAAAAAAATAATAATAAAGTGTAATTATTTCATTGATTTTATTGATTTATTTTATCAAATAATCAGTCAGTGTTAAGTATCACATTTCAGCTATGCATATATGAAAAAGAAATAGTTTCACTCTAGTTGTAAAGAGGATTTTAAAATATCGCAAATTTTCTAATAAACAATGTTGAACTTTAAGATATAACACTTTAATAATCGGTCTTCAATGAAATAGTGTATTTTGAGCTAGTAGATATCAAATGTTGAGATGATGAGTCAAGTGAAGCTAGATCACCATGAAAAACCTGAAAAACACTAGACAGCCTTTCCGTCCTATTGTAGGACTCCTCAGCAGCGCGCACCCACGATCCCGCATCGCGAGATTACAACCCAGGACCTGTCGGTCTCACGTGCGAATGCTTAACCTCTAGATCACCGAGCCGGTGTCCAGTGGTGCTAATGCCTGACTTCAACTAATCGATAAAATTGAGCGAGACATCAGCCATTGTCTTCAGTAAGTTACTATCTCACAACAGACTCGGCTAAACTTTGAGACCGACAAGTCCTAGGTTCGAATCCCGCGAGGTGTGATTGTGGATGCGCACTGCTGAGGAGTCCCACGATAGGACGAAACGGCCATCCAGTGATTTCAGGTTTTCCATGGTATAATATCCACGAAAACCCCTTCAGATATCAAATGGCCGTTATTTTTGTTTTGATAAAGTAGTATTCATCATGAACATTTTTGTCATATCTTTTATTTATCAAAAATAAGAGCCTACCTACGTGGTTCATTGATTTATAAGTTGAAGAGTTTTCGATTACTCATTTTCTTTCTTATTGTTCTGTTCTATTAAAATGATGAGTCCTTGGAAATACATCCAAGGAGGCCTAAGCATAATGAAGAGTAAAGGAAATCTGAATTCAGAATAAAAAGAAATGCTCACAAAATGACAGTGAACAGTGGTGTCAAAATATCAAAAACAATTACTGGGCAGTGATGAATTGTTAGGCTGTTTAATTAGAAGCCAGTGGAACAACTGGAGGAGCTTTCATGGGGTTTGTTGCCCAGAAGAAATTAAACAAAGTACAAACTTCAATGAGTATAGAATACAATAAATTCATTAGGTTTCCTTGCCTTCTCTGTAAATACATACAGACTATTAATTTCCGTTAATCCAAAATATTAACATGTTTGAAATTTTTGAGTAATACATTATTATCAGAGGTCAGCAAAATCTTAGAAGTTAAAATCATAATGAAAGCTTTAAATTAACGATTTAGAAACAAAATTAAAAGAAACTTGTAAACACCAAATAATTTTACTATTCTTTAACAATAACTCATCGATTAAAAATTTCAGGTAATTTAATATTTTTACTAACGAAAATTATAATTTTTATAAATCTGAGAAAAAAGTAACGAAATACAATGAATTTATCGTATTCTGCAAAAATTCTCATTCTTACTCAAGTGCTCTTCAGTTAGTCTTCAAATGTTATCCATTCCTTTATATTTTCATCAACACCCTACTATCACTATAATTTTATTGAGTTTCTTAACCTTAATTCTGCATTTGGCCCCTTTAATAGTTTTTATTAATTTACTTATCTCATGATTATCATATAATTGAAACAAGTTTCTTTCTATTCAATATTTGAATGATAGATTAAATAATGAAAATGGAAATTTAAGAAGACAATTGGAAAATTTACAACTTAAAACTGGACAATTATTAGAAGAAAATATGCGTATGTAACTGAACAGTTTAATTTTATGTATGTACTTCAAGGTTGCTTGTTTATCTTTTTTTTCCTAATTGATAGAATTCTTGTTTTAAATGATTTAATTATAGTCGACCTCTTATCATCATATTAATAGTGAACTAGCTATTAACTAAAAAATAAATTGTAACCTTCATTAGTGAAATGATTTTATTTCATCATAATTCTGTGCAAGTGAATATATTAATTAGACATTGTAATATATCAAACTATTACTGTTTTATGTTACAATTATACATGGTTTTAGTAATTAGTTAAAATTATTAAATATTGGTTTTGCTAGACCAATGTAAGCTAGATCGATAAAATCTACCCATTGCAGAAAAAACTCAAACAATTTAAAAAAAGAGTATTTATTCAATTTATGTTAAATGAATAATCCAAAAGATTTGTTTAGATGGTGGTCGGAGGTAGTTGACAGGAAACCCTGGACCCGGATTTCGTGCTACTTGGCACTGGTCAGCAAATTGTACCTGTAATCCTGAGGGAACTTGTGCTCCATGGTGGATTCGATCCCGTGTCACCCAGCTTCACAGTCAGAGACGTTACCACTGAGCTATCCGGGCCGCAACTGACCTCATGTAGGACTGAGATGTAACCATAATTGATTGAGCATTCAATCTGCACTAAATAAGGACTTGATACGCATGACATTGATCACCACCCAGTGATCAATCAATTGTGAAAAGATTTGTTTATTCCACTAGTGTTGATGTGAAACTAATTTTAAAAGTATCTGTTTGAGAATCAATAAAATATTAAACAGCAGAGTGTATAGGATTAATGGGAATGTACTACTGATTGAATGAATTCCTTTAACTAGGTAGTAGATAATGAATTAAATCTAGTAGAAATTAAAATAATATAGTGATTATATTTATAATGTTGACTCACTCTTAGTTACAGTATTCGACTTTCAATTAACAAATGGCTAATTTAAACTCCCATTTAACGCAAAAGGTATTGCTCAAAAGTCGAGGATATGAGATGAATACACGATCACTAAGTTACAGTATAGAAGAATTATAATTTCATTTGTATTCTATAACTATTGTTTCCTATTTTATTTTGACAAGGAATAATCATTCATTCAATAAAATCACATCCGATCACTTTTTTTTGTGAGAAATAAATCAACACTAACATTACTATCATACGATGTTATTTCTAAGTACTTAATTCTTTTTGTTATTACTATTACTGTGTACAACACATTGAAATCACTATTTTATCTTTACTGGTAATTTTCACAGTTAGCTTTTGAATTCATTACTATAGTTGAACTGACTACATAATTTCGATAACATCAATCTCTTATAAGTTCATCTAACTTTTTAAAATTTATGCTTACGGGGATCTTCAGTTTTTATTTTGCTTTTTACTTATGTAACATAACAGTCTAAGGAGGACAATATAAAACTATTGATATTGGTGACTAAAATGACTAAGATATCTTTGACATTTGATAGCCAATCACAATAAAAATAAACTAAGTGAACTTAATATTGGAAACTCGAGAACGCATTAGGGTTGTGGTTTCCTTGATGAATTCATAAATCGTGTCTAAATTTTGTGTACGTTTTGGTTGCATTTATTCCCTATTCTTTTTTTCATTGAAAACTAATCGATTTCCAAATGTCATTTAATGAATTGCTCAAGCTCATTCACATTTCTTAGTCCGTCTTGAATTTCATGTGAACATCAGAGAGTATCCATTTGAGGTCTGATTCGTTTATCCACCAAGCATATCTTCACTAGTCACGAAAACGATTACAAATGAAGATGTACATCTGTCAATCACTATTTGAAAGTGTGTTTCTCGTATATACCCTGAATCTTAACAAGTTGAACTAATATTAAGCGGAAATTAATAATGGAACATAGCATGGATAAATAATATTATAAAAATGTGTTGCATCCTTATCCATATCTTTTCAGTGGTTATAGCTTCCATATATCCTTTTACGTAACGTCAAAACACTTGTTCTTTTAAATGCTGAATATCATGTAAGGCTTACCAATTTTATGACTATCACATTTTCTGTAGCTGGAACAATCTTTAGGCGTTCACTAAACTGAATAGTTCATAAACAAACTGATGTTTTCATCAAATATACAAGATTCGAGAGACTTAAAATTGAAGTATATTTTTGCATAGAATTGAAAATAATTCTCGTTAGATCACACCAATATTCTGGAAACTTCTAAGGTTTAGTTTGCAAACTTAAAGCCATTCAACTAGAAACCCCCAAATGCCCTGGTACGGTCGAGAGTGGGGAAAGTCCGCTCTCCCTCTCGAAATCCTCTCACACGGCCACGCGTATACAGCCTCTGCCAGGGAAGTCCTACTCATTGCTTTCTCGTGGCGGGGGTGTTGTTTACGAAAATGAGAGGACGAAAAACGAATGTCCGGCGCTTTAACCGGATTCCAGACCAATAGTGCACATGGGCTCCAGTATCCTGCGGGAACAAATGGCGTATGAACCAATCGTTGGTCACCGGCTACCATGGGACTGCATCTCCTTATGATGCTCCACTGCCTTGTGGGTTAGACCTTTAGGTCAAAGGCTCGGGGTATGGCCCCCTAAGATAACCACCTGCTTCGGCCTGGGCACCCGGGCAGTATCGCAACCCACACGCAAATGATGAACTCTCTATATCTATGGAAACTACTTTTCTCGCTTAGAATAACAATCAAATGATTCAAATTATTATTATTATTATTATTTTCCACATTATTCACCCTCTTTTATACTTATACAGCGGCTCGTCTTTGGTGGAAATTCGACTGTATCTAAACGTTCTCGAGTCACTGTCCGGTTGAAAATTGTATGTTACCACCGAATACGAGTACTGAAGCAGTTTTTCTGAAACCACGTGCACCATTCAAACTGGCTGCCTTCAACGTTCGCACATTTATGCAGGTCGGACAACAGATAGGGCTGGCTATGTCTTTGGAAAGTCTTAATATCGATGTTGTTGTCTATCCGAGACCCGTATTCAAGACTCTGGCGAAGTACTACAAATTCGATCTCCATCTGTCGCTTCGAAAAGCTTGTTTTACGTGCGCTTATCCGGGGACCCTGTGGCATCTTCGTCTGGTCTTGCTGGCGTTGGTGTCGCACTAAGCGCTAGAGCTGAGGCAGCACTAGTCGATTGGATCCCCATTAACAGTCGGTTATGTGCTGTTAGATTAGAAAGTTCCATCAAAGTGAGAAGAAATCGGCGTGAGAAACGATGTCTTTTCGTCATCTCCGCCTATGCCCCGACAGATTGCAGCCCGGATGCAATCAAGGATGAGTTTTACCACCAGTTATCAGTTCTTCTCCAGAAAGTGCGTTCGACAGATATTGTAGTACTAGCCGGAGACTTGAATGCTCAGGTCGGGCGTCTAGGCACAGAAGAGAGTCGTTTAGGTGGCCGATGGGGACTCGTTGGTCGCAGGTCAGATAACGGGGACCGTCTACTGCAACTTGCACAGACCACAACCTGTTTCTGGCTAGCACTAACTTTCGGCACAGTCATCGCCGATGTGCCACCTGGCGTCCTCCCTCTGCATCTCAAGCCTGGACTCAGATTGATCACATCGCGATCAGCTACCGCTGGCGTGGTTGTGTACAAGACTGCCGCTCCTTTTGGAGTACCTATCTGGACTCTGACCATGCCTTGGTCTGCGCCAATCTTACCTTACTTTTCAGTGGACAACGAAGTGACCACCACTAACGGATTGATGTTAGCAAGCTGGTTGCAACTTCTGTTGCAAGTAAGTATCGAACCGAGCTAGCCTCTAGGCTAGCTACCACTCCACCGAAAAGTATAGATGAGCATTGGTTGCAATTGCATGACGCCATGAAAATGGCGGGAACAGTCAGTTGTGGGTTTGCGAAACGTCCCGCTTTAAGCACTGGGTTTCTTCTGGTTCCTTACAACTCATTGAAGCCCGTCGGTCTACTCCGGGTGACCGTGAGTTTGACCATAAACGAAGGATGTTACGTAAGGAAATTGGGCAAAGCTTGCGTAAGGACCGAGAAGCCTGGTGGTCGGAGCGTGCTAATGAGCTGGAAGCAGCAGCTGCATCTGGTAACTACCGGAAGCTCTTCCAACTCATCCGAGCCACTGGCAGCAAGAAGTCTGGTGTGAGTGAAACAATCTGCGAGGATGATGGGATGCCAATCACTAACATCCATCGACGTCTTGGACGATGGGCAGAATTTTTCGAAGGGCAGTTCAACTGGCCTGCTGCTCCGGCAACATCGGTCAGACTGTCCTGCCCTCCATGGCCGGTGACGACTGATCCACCAAATGAGGAGGAAGTCCGCAAGGAACTCCAACTCTTGAAGCGTTACAAATCACCTGGCCCAGATGACTTACCTCCGGCTCTTTTTAAAGATGGTGGTGACTTTTTGACTAAGGAATTGACGACGTTGTTTACAAAGGTTTGGGAACTAGAGAGTGTACCAACGTCATGGAATGAGTCGATAGTTGTCCCTATCTTTAAAAAGGGTTCACGTCGTTCCTGTAACAACTATCGGGGGATAAGTCTACTTCCGATTGCGTCCAAGCTATTGGCTTCCGTCATACTTCGTAGGTTGTTCAAAACCCGAGAAAGATTGACTCGCGAGGAGCAGGCTGGGTTTCGTTCTGGTCGAGGATGTATTGATCATATCTTCACCCTCCGCCAAATGTTAGAACACCGCCATACTTATCAAAGGCCAACAATCGTAGTGTTTCTTGACATCAGGGCTGCCTTCGATTCGTTGGACAGGACTGTTCTCTGGGATTGTCTATTGAAGAAGGGTGTGCCTGAGAAGTTTATTAACATCCTAAAAGCCCTATATAAAACACCTCAGGCAGAGTGAGGGCATACAACCACCTCTCTCCATTGTTCCATTCGAGCAGTGGGGTTAGGCAGGGTTGCCCAATCTCACCATTCCTCTTCAACTTTGCCATCGATGACATTCTGGAAACAGCTCTGATGAATGTAAGTAATGGTGGTGTGGATCTGTTGCCTGGAGAAAGACTTCTCGACCTTGAGTATGCGGACGATATTGTCTTACTGTGCGATAATGCCCAAGGCATGCAATCCGCACTTAATCAGTTGGCAATCAGTGTCCGTAGGTATGGTATGTGCTTTGCACCTTCGAAGTGCAAAGTACTTCTACGTGATGTTAGTCTGGCTGTAAAAGGTCGGATCTACAACGCGTCGGTGAGAGCAGTTTTGTTCTATGCTTGTGAAACATGGCCTCTCCGAGTTGACGATGTTAGACGACTCTCTGTGTTCGATCACCGTTGTCTCCGAAGGATTGCTGACATCCAGTAGCAACACCATGTTAGTAATGCAGAGGTTCGGCATCGTGTGTTCGGGCACAGAGATGATAATGCAATCGATGTCACCATCTTGAAACACCGACTTCGGTGGCTTGGACATGTTCTCCGAATGTCGTCCCAGAGAATTCCACGTCGTGCATTATTTGCCGACTCTGGGACTGGTTGGAAGAAACGGAGAGGTGGTCAGTGCATGACATGGTGTCATGGTATGAAAGAAAGCTGCAAAGGACTGGCTTCTATTGGTCCTTCACGACTCCCTGGTTGGGGTCTGAGAGATGGTGCTACACAGTGGCTAGAGACGTTATCAGATATGGCCCAGAATAGAAGCCAGTGGCGATCCTGCCGTAACCTTCTTTTACTTCATAAAAAGTGGTTGTGTCTCCCTTACCTGAAAGATTTCTTCTGATTGTACCTTTCCGTTCCCTCATTATAACTATTATTATTACTACACTACCTTACACCAACCTCTTCGTTATTGTTCTCTTTTTTTTCACACCCCTTACCTTTTTTCTTTCTCTTCGAATTCTCATTGTTTTGTGTGGCGCATATATAATGGCGCTCTCTTGTACCAATATTTATGTGTTCAAATAAATAAAAATAAATAAATTCAACTAGAAAAGTTTCTTCAGTAATATAAAAAGATAACAGATATTTCATCTGGTAAATAAATGTAGATGCACTGCTGAAACTGTATTTTACTTGGAATTCATTATGGTTATAGTTTAGGCAAGAGAAAAATTAGCCCATTTCATGTAGCTATATACATATTTCAAAATATTCACTGGAATTTGTTGACTGCTATTTGGAATTGGACCCCCTTATTGAAATAAGAAAAGTTCTTAATGGATTTTATACTCCATGACAAGACTGAGAGTAAATCTATGAGTGATCTTCAACAAGAATTCATGGAATCACAGATGAGTCAATCTCAGTGTGGTTTACACAAATATCTTATACCGTCTATTGAGAAATATTTGTACGGGCTTCTGACAGCATCTAGGTCTTTCGACAAGTAAACAAATTATGTTTATCGTTTATTCTAAAATAGTCATAGTATTACTCACAATTTGTATGCCTCATGAAATTGATAATAATCTGTTCGACTTAATCTAAGATTTTCAGTGTTATGAAATGTCAATGAGGTATAAGCTTACAAAAGTAGATGAAATTTCAGCCATATTTTTTACATGTTACTTAATATCAACTTTTTGTTTCTATGTTACGTTAGATCTTCTACAGAAGAACACAATGTTAGTCTGTTCACCTACATATGAAGAACGAGTAGAAAAACCACCTGAAATAACCAATTTAGATAAAAGTACCAAGTTTTATCTGAATAAAAATTCACTGGAGAAGTTAGCTGATCAAAAGGTTCCACTTACATCAGAAGGCATTCTTTATGTACTAGAAAATCAAATTAAATCACAATTTCATGATAAAAGAACTTCATTGCCTGAAATAAAAACAAATTTAAAAGATGCTTCTATTTCTCAGAATGGATTCCAATTATTTTTCAGTCGTTTACGTCCATCTAAATTAGATAAGATTTTAAACGTTCAACAACAACAAGAACGGTCTCATAAATCTTTTTATATTGAAAAAGATAGTCAGTGCGATTTTAGTTCATTCATTCATCAAAGTCCCGGTATTCGTGAAATCTCTATCCCTTTAAAATGTTTGTGTGTAAATGATTCAGATGAAGTTTGCGAATGCGCTCGAACTACTGTTAATGTTCAACGACAACTTTTACAGTATAGGTGCCAGGTATGATTAAATTAATGTGTAGATGACAATTGTGTTTAGTATTTATTAAATCTATCGAGTATTTACTTTAAAAAAATGAAAACGAGATTCACTTTTCGAAGAAGCCAATACAACTCTTTTTTAATTTATTCATGAGAAATCATATATATATTCCGCTCAATATATACTCGGATTCTAGCCATAAAGATTTTATTTCACAAAAAATAAGGGAAATCAATCTTATCCTTATATGTGGTAATTAACGTGCTCCGTTTCTTATTTCGATGGTCCAAACAGCCCTTAGATGTCCTCAATAATCAAGTCCTTTACCTGGCTCACCGTTCCACATTTTATAGTTTCAAAATTATACTCCTTTCACACTTATATATCGATTCTGCATTTTGGGGACAAGATAAAATCTTAGATGGATTACTTTTGGTGACTAGAGAAAGTGACCTAATCTACTGACAGAATTGTGCATAAGAAAATGGCATACAACTGATGCTAAACCATTACTACTATAAATCTCCTTCAATAATTTCGTGAATTTCTCAATAGTTTTTCCCTAGTTTCATTAGGAAACATTCATATCATGTCTTTGTTTGTATATTTACCAATTAGACCATGTACAAAATTAAAGTGTATTAAACGAAGCTCTCGTTATAATTTAAAATACAAAATACAATGAATCATAAATTAAAATAACAAAGATTTACAATTTATGTAATTTGAAATGAATATAATTTATGACAATCCCTATCCCTAAATCTTATCTAGCTATTCATAGAAAAAAACCTGATTATTTAGTTTTCATGATAGCTAAAATATATACAATTAGGTTCGAATTTTTATTTCTGAAGATAAATACGAAGTATACATAGAACTTTATATTTAACTTACAGAATTTATTTAAATCATACCACTATAAATTTTAATAATTGTGGAATGACTGGAAAATCACAACAATGTATAGCCAGACAGTTGATACTGAAATAAACCATCTCTTAATGCTGTAGTTTTTAATACATGTATATGTAAAAATATTACTTTTTATAGTCAGTTGATCAATGGAAAATAAGTAGGAATTATGTAACACTAAACATCTTGTATGCTATAAAAGTTCACTCGTTGTTTTCTTCTTTAAACTATGTGCGATTCTTCCAACGATTGTACTTTGTATTAATAATCTGTTTTTGATTTGCTAAAACGAATTTTACTTTCCTTCTCAACTCATTCACTAATTATTTGAGTATGAACCAAACTCAAAGTGTGACGGATAATAATATTAATATCCGGTTGCTTCAGTCGAAATAGGTGGGAGAGAGTTCAAACCTGGGACTTAAGTACCTTGACCGCTAAATTACACTCTGTTTTGTCACTGGTAACAAAATTAAAAGTCAATTCCTACAAAAACACAGCAGCAAAGCCAAAATAAAACATTAAATTTTGAATAAATCGATAATAGCTTTTACAAAACGTATTTACTTTAGGACTTAAGTCATTGTTTGGAATGTCCAAACTTTTAAAAAAGTTTAACATTGCGACGAAAATAGCTCAATTCTAATAAGCTTATTATTAATTTTCAAGTGGTTGATAATTCAAGGATTGGAATTATCTGAGAATTATTTTCTAAAAAGTAGATTTATAGGGAAGAAAAATTTGATTGAAATCTAAACTTTATTTCCAAACATTCGGATAATCAATTTTAATGACTTCCGGTATAATTATATATATATATATATATATATATATATATCCACAGAGAGAGAGATAGAAAGAGTTGTGTAACGATGACCATTAATAATAAAATTTGTCAATCAGACGATATTTACAAATTGGGGGTTGTGAGCTGTGGAATTTCATAGTTGTCCATTACGGATTAGCTTTAGGAAACACTGAACAAAACAGATATTCACAACACCATCTATTTTGTTGAAATATTACATTTGTTACCAATGAGATATAAAGGAACAGGATACATTATTTTAAAAAGTGTCAGCGATACGCTTCTTACATGTTTCAATAGTAACAAAATTATCATACCTGCCTGATTTCTTTTTAAATGTTCAACTGGTTTTAAGTGACCAGCACCGAGAACTTTCATTTAAAATTATACAGGCATAATCTGTCATATTACTCTCCAAGTGACAATGATATCTTCGTCACGAAATGATTCAGTTTAAATTTAATTCATATGACTGAATAAAATTATAAACAGCACATTTATAAGATAATTTTTTAAACATATATGATAGTTAGACATTAACACCGTTGGATGCCGGCTCAGCGGTCTAATGGTTAAGTGCTCGCGCGCGAAGCTAGTAGGTCCTGGGTTCGAGCCCCGCGTGGTGCGGGCTCGTGGATGCGCACTGCTGAGGGGTCCCATACTAGGACGAAACGGCCGTCCAGTGCTTCCACGTTTTCAATGGTGGTCTAGCTTCAACTGACTCATGGTTTCAATCTGTGAAAATTTCTAAAAATCTCCACAAACCCCTTCTGATATATGATAGTATCAATTTTCTTAGATAATAAAACTTAACACAAATTAATCATTATATGATTTTTATTAATAGTTTTATTATCGCATATAAATGCATGTTTCCGCTAAAAATATAAGAATAACATGTAAGATTATGAAGTAAGAGACAATACTTATGATAAGATCCAGTCATTTAAAGCACTTGTATTAATTAACAGAGAATGTTTTGTATGAAAATTAACATATTTTAGTTATATTTCAAAGGCCGTTTGTTTGTAATAATTTCTATTTATTTGAAAAAATGAACATACATAAAAAAGCGACGTAATTAAATATCTAAACTTTGTTTCGATTAGCCGATTTCGTGCAGAGCTTTCTGTATGCTGATGGTAGATTCAATCACGAACTGATGTAATCCAGTAGGTACTAGATTTGCTCTCATATTGTCGATGAATAGCAAATTAAATCTACATACCTATTTAATGAATATTACTAAATGCATAATAATTTTAATCCTCTCATCTCATTGTAAATTTATTTTATAATAGAGGAAAATTATTTTTAATACAAGTATTCTTTTGAGTATGTAATGTTAGGTTACTGCTTGAAGAAACGTTCTTACTGTGAATTAAATACGGTTGTATTCCTTTATAACTGAGTAGAATATTAAAAGCAATCACAAGTTATGCATGTACATTGTTCAAAGTTTTTTTTATAAAATGCTTTCATTATATTTATCAGCTTTCTGAAATGACAAAAAAAATCAAACAACTTGAACTATCTGAGGATGCCCATCGACATGCATTAAAAGAACAATACGAAAGAAACAAACACATGTCTGTTCAACTTACCGGAATTCTCCCATACACATCTGAAGAATTATTGAACTGTAAGTGGCATTTATTAACATTGGTTAGAAAGGATTAATTAAGGGACTACTTAAGTCAGTGAGTTTGTGAAACTATATGGTTTGAAATGGATTGGCACTGTTATGGTATAATAAATGTGATAACGTTAGGTAAAACTGCTAATTGTTGGTTTGAAGTCTGTAGATTTATTGACTGAAGCCTTGGAAATTTCGTAGTTTAGTGATGGCACTGCGCTTACAGAAATAAACTCGTTATGTTCACTTTAAACAACAACTACTATCCCGTTAACTCTTTAGTTCTTTATCGTAGAAGTCATAAGTGTATTAAATCTCAGTCTGTAACGTAGAATGATGCAAAACGGCCGATCTGTACTTTTGAGAAATTTAATGATAGAAGAGTTACTTTGTTAGTCCGATTGACACTTCGAATGAATTTTGCATTGTACAAGGATATTGTGTACTTACGTAAAAAGTGATTTAAAATTAAAATACACCAGTTTTATTGCCGCACAATAATAAAAGACCGTTCAACCTTATGAAAATGGTGTAGTTTCAACGAGACATTTTAAAGTTTCTTGTAATGGCGAGAAAGTAAATATTGCCGTAAGAAAAATAAAACCACCTTCTCTCTTGAACTTTTGTTTATAGAATATGGGAACGTTGTGCAACAGATATTGAAACTGAGTTGTTAGCTAAAATCTCTGTGGTTTATTTGTCCTATTTTATAGCGTACTTGTGATGATTGTTGATGCAAAAGTGAGGCATTAGTAAGAATGCCCGCTACTGATTTCTAAAATCATTGAGCTATACATGAGGGATTACAGGTTTGTTGGATACATTTCTTGATACCTACAACAATAAAATGTACCGTACTTTTCCTTTACATAAAACTTAAAAATTTAGATAAGCTTTTAAAGATCCATCTGTCAATACATATTATCACTTAAATGATTAGAAGCCATCATTTTTGGACGGAAAACATATCCTTGAAGGAATAGGCATATAACAGTCATACTTTATACAAAATCAGTACAAATATTTTCTGAAATAAGTTACACAAGTTGTTTCCATTTTTAAACAGGATTTATGTTTAAATCGGTTTTGCATATCTGAAATACAATATGGTTTACTTGAATTACAACCTAGAAATTTATCCTAGTAACTTCCCACTTTAATTATGTAACATCCAACTGACAATTTCGAGTAGCCCCTGTCATTAATTATAATCTTTCTTGGAAAAATTAAGATCTTTATGAAGACTAATCCATGTATTGCTTGTAAAAACTATGGTCCTCACATACAAGCACTATTTCTAGATGGTTGGCATTATAAATTTACGTTTTTTCTACTTTCATTTGTCGCGATTGTGCAATTAATGTGTTGTATATGCGGTTGTATTTCTTAATTGTTAAAATCCTAATTTTCTGGGATGAAATTAGTTGTGTTGTCCAAATATATATATGATCATTTGTCAGTCAGCTACAACGTAGGACCAGGCACATGTATGCATCGGCCCAGGTTGCCATACCTCATTAGCACAGCAAGATGAACACTGGATTCATAGGAGTGGTTAGGTCAAAGGTGGTAATATATAGGAGAAAGATTGCAATAAGGATATAGTATAGGAAGAAAGAATTAGTTCGTAGAAAGAAAGATGTGAAGTGATCTTAATCTCTTAGTTTAAGAGAAGACAGAGAGTGTATACACCGACGCCATTGTGATCGATTCTGAGCCATGTCACCAAGGGTCTCCAACCATTGGTTACGAAAGTCACGCGGACCCCAACCAAGTAGTCTGCATCTACCAACATGGCTCAGACTAGAAGTTAGTGACTTCAGGCACTGATGCCACGTTTTGGTTTGGCCGCCCCTAACTTTCTTCCAACCATCCCCTACACCGGTTAGCATTGCACGTCGCGGTAATCGGTGTTCAGGCATACGTAATACGTGGCCCAACCATCTCAGTCGATGAAGATTCATAACCTCATCAACTGATTTACCATCATTCCCTAATACCCTGCGTCTAACCTCACTATTACTTACCCGGTGATCCCAGCAGATGCCAGCAATATTTCTAAGGCATCTGTGGTCAAATACTAGTAGCTTACGGGTGTCTTCTACTCTTAAGGGCCATGTTTCGCTGCCGTAAATTAAAACAGAACGGACAGCCGCGCAGTATACTCGTCCTTTTATTGATAGACGGATATCTCGCCTCCGCCAAAGGTGACGTAAGTTGGCAAAAGCCAAACGAGCTTTACGAATCCGTGCTGAGATTTCGTCAGACACCAACCCATTAGGGCTGATCAGACTTCCAAGATAAGTGAAGTTGTCAACACGTTCGACTACTTCACTCCCTATCCTTAGTTCAGGTGTTGACGCAGACCAGTCCTGAAGCAACAACTTGCATTTAGAGGGAGAGAAGCGCATCCCAAACATTCTGGCATTGTTGCTTAGTGCTACCAGAAGACTCTGCATTTTGTCAGCGTCTTCACCAAACAGGACTATGTCATCTGCATATTCTAAGTCGATAAGTGGACCTCCTGGAAGGAGATCAATACCCGAGAATTCAGTCGACGAGAGTGTTATTTCCATCAATAGGTCTATGATGAAGTTAAACAAAAATGGAGAAAGTGGGCAGCCTTGACGGACACCACTTGAGGTTGCAAAAGTAGATGACAGTTCGCCATAAGCCCTGACTCGACTAGTAGTGTTCGAGTAAAGAGCCTTCACAAGGTTTATGTACTTCTGAGGTACGCCTTTCAATGACAGACACTGCCACAGAGTCTCGCGGTCTACAGAGTCAAATGCTGCTTTTAAGTCAAGAAAGACCACCATCGTCGGACGCCGATAGGTATGCCTGTGTTCTAGAACCTGACGAATGGTGAATATGTGGTCGATGCAGCCACGACCAGGTCTAAAGCCAGCTTGGTTCTCTCGTGTTTGTAGTTCACGAGTCTTAGTTAGGCGTTTGATAATTATCGAGGCCAGTATTTTAGATACTATGTTTGTTAAACTAATCCCTCTGTGGTTGTCACAGGATGATTTTGACCCTTTCTTATATATTGGGACGATAAGTGATTGCGACCAGTCAGATGGGATAACGTCTAACTCCCAGATTTTAGCCAAAATATTAGTCAACCTAGTCGCTAAAATTGGACCACCATCCTTAAAGACTTCTGGAGCCAGTCCATCTGGACCAGCTGCCCTTCCTCGTTTCAGATTAACTATAGCCTTCTCAACTTCAGCAAGAGTTGGGGGACCTACTTCAATGTTCCATTCACTTTGTCTGGGAATGGAGGGTAGTTGTAGAGTAGCTGAAGGCCAGCTGAACTGTTCTCTAAAATGTTCCGCCCATCGTTCTAAACGTCTGGACTGGGAGCAGATGAGAGTATCATCTTTTTCCGAAATAATCTCACTTACACTTGACTTATTAGTTCCAGTTTCTTTTATTAGTCTGTAAAGCTGTCTTGTGTTCCCTATAGTCGCCGCCTTTTCCATCTCTTTTGCTTTCGTTACCCACCACTGCTCACGGTCGTTCCTTAGACTTTTTCTTAACCTAGATCTGATTTGTTTACGCTCTTCATCATGTTCAGAACCTGATGGGACGAGTTTGCGAGAATCCATCAGTGTGACAGACCTTGAAGAAATCCACTGGTTCCTTGTAACTCTGTGGTTTAAGTCACTAACAGATGTCACTGCTGTTTCCACAGCTGCTTGTATGTCCTTCCAAGCAACATCTGGGTCAGCCTCGTCTTCACAACTAACTAAGTGTGATATGATCATTTGTGCTACCTTCTCATGATAAATAATTCCTTGTTAATAGATAGTTATTCCCTACGAGGTTTTATGGAATTATCGTTCAAAAATCTTTAAGACCACAATATATGCGTAGGCCAAAACTGTGTTTCGCTAAAAGAACTTCCGTTTCACAGTAGTTTTGTTGTATAATAAAATGGAAAAAGGACTATATTTTGTTTTGATAGCCGATATCTATTCAGTATGACCTGTTTATTAATAAAAATCAATATTACATAATTCTACATTATAAAGTCGATAATTTTATTTAATAATCGTGAGTGTCACACACATTATGTGTTACTGAAGTACTTATCTTCACATATTTACCAACTATTTCGCATTCCATTATGGTCATCCTATTTAAATAAATTTGTCTGGTTTAACTATAATAAATCAAAAAATGAAATTACGTAAAATGATTAAGTTAATGCTTTTGTGAGACATATTTTATGCAGTTTTATAAAAACATATGCAGTTTTGTTTGAAAGGTAAAACTAATTAGGGTTCATTAAAATACTCGTAAGATTAACGTTTTACCACACCATAAGATTAAAATATTATCCCGCAGCTTGTTACGTTAAACTTCAAATAGACACTGGTAACGCTGTCTATAAGAAAACAATAGAAGCTTCTCAAAAAATCCAACAGCGCCAATGGGTATGTGTGGTCATATTTGAATGATATTTTAGTGAAGCATGACGGGGGTTACTGGTCACTTGTCCAAATTGAAATGCGCCAAAGATCCTCCAGGAGTATCTGAGTTATAGTGCAAAACTCACTGAACTAAAGATATTTATGGATTTTATAAATGAATATGTCGAAATGAACCGGCATGAAGACCTACTGGGAAGTACTCCGACTTGAGTCGAACCAAGCGGAAAAATATTAAAACGTCATCTTTTCAATCAGAGGGACTCAATTAAATCGTGTACTATATGACTGATGTTTCTAGGAGATCTTCCGCCGTCGAAGTACCCATCCTAACATACGTGATCCAGCTAGTGAACGCAAAGATATAGAAAACTCATTCAGTTGGTTTGAAGCCTAGAAAACCGGGCCCCAAGAACAAAATTACCCGAAATCCAAGTCATTATGTTCATAAATTTTTGAATGTTGGTCTGAATGTGAGTGATTTGAAAGCGCTACCTTTTAGCCAGAAAGTTTATGCTAGTTGTCCTAGTAATAATAAAGGTTGAAATACACGTTCAGTTCGAAAACGTTAACTCATAATCATCAGATTCGATGCATTTGACTGACAAATATTTAGAGAGACTTGAGTTTACTTTAATGGATTGGTATTATAACGATGCAAATTGTAAGTAACCTAATAAGTGTGATTTTAGTAATTAACAAACTTGACACGGCATCAGTATTTCTTACAGGCCAAAACAATATTATATCGAAAAGATGCGTACACTAGTCGGTGTCCATCGCAAATTCCAATTCTTTTCTAAAAATGACCACATAGAAAATTCGGGGTAACAAGTGACACAATCACCAAATAGCTTACAAGAAACAGGTTCAATTTACCACGAATTTTATGCAACTCTCAGTCCAACTGGTACGGTTAAATCCAAACAATTTGGTCTATCAAAAGTATACAAACAGGGCTTAACATTTCGTCTATTACTCGATATGTTAAATTTATCTTACCATGAATAATAGAACTCATAAAGCTACTATGCAAAATACTCGTAGAGTGTAAAAAATGGATTTAAGTTGATCGATAGAAATAGAATTTTTAAAGTGAATAAGAAATTCATGTAATCACTTGTTTTTTTATTTATTTCTATTCACGAACATGCTGCTACTGATAAGAGTAGTTGATTACATATGTGGTAAGTTGTAAAATTGAGGTACGTAAATTAGCATACTCCTTTTCTCTTTAGAAAAAAATGGACATGTTAATCTGCCGTACTTACGTGGCTTAAAAAATAAGCACATTAAAAATAAACTGCACTAAAGATCCAAACTTTATTCTTCTTTCCATGATAAATACAACATTGACATAACTTTGATCATTTATTTGTAAAAAAAACAATTTATTGTCATTCCCTTCGTTTTTATTTTGTTTTATTTCTTCGCTATAATCCAAGCTCCAAATTATGCATTATCTTCTCCGTGTACATCAACAGTAAGGAATTCACTCGGAAAATTTGATTCCACAAAAAATAATTCAACAGTTTCACAAACATTATCCTCTACAGAATCGTTTCATAATTTATTATTATGGTTTCATAAAATTTTAAAAGTAATTTCAATTTCATTGAAAAGTTTATCATCGTCTGATAATCAATTAATATTTGATCAAGATAAAAATAATTATAATGTCATGGAATCTATACACCGTAAATCGAAATCTCCAACATATATTAAAATGTCTACTGGTAATTCTATGTCGGAATGTTTAACACTATACAATGAATCAAATCGATGTCAATATGATAAAAATGCTTCAATAGATGGAATTAATAAATTACGTGATGTTTCAAATAAAGAACAAATTAGTTTGGCTACAAAACGAAAAATAAGTTTGAAAAGCGTTAAGTCTATATGCAATTCTATGCTATCACAATTAGACGATCTAACTATAAGTGATAAACTTATTACTTCAGATAATCATATAAAGGGAATAAATGATGAACCGATTGTACAAAATCAAACAGTTTATCCACGTAAAGTAAGTTCATTTTTAAAAGGAAATAACTATTAATATGCTCAGAAAAAAATTCAAGGAGAATCTAGTCAGCGAAATGAATCATCATAGTGTAAATTATAAACCAATCGATATAGCTAAGTAGTACTAGATAACTGGCTTTTCCACAACTTTATTTCCTTATCAATAAAATTTGTTCCAAAAAAGAACAAAGGATGATTAAAATTTGTTTTAAGTATTGCTTGGACTGCAAAACTGATTATATTGTCATCGATTCTAGTAAAGTAAACAGCAGAATACGACAAAACACTTTAAACATACTTTCCATTTCCTTGTGTAAGTTGTCAAGTATTTAAAGATTAGATGTATACAGGTTTGATCAAGATGTAAAGAAAGATACACTAACTAAATCTAATTTCAATTTATATAAACTTTTGTTATAATGTACGCTGTTTCAATCAGCAGTTTCATTTTCAGAGTTGACTTCTTATGTGGTAAATTGTGTACATTTTTACTGCCCATCAGTTTTCTGCTCAGAAATTCTCCCTAGTTGTTTGGATATCAATGTAAAACGAAAACATGTTACAGCCCAGTAGAAAACTAACGGTGAAGAACTTTCCAATAATTTTGTGTATGTATGTCGATATACTATTGTAAACAAAATGTTAAACTTTGAATATAACAGACTTTGAGAACGGTAATAACGCCCTAAAGAAATGATAAGAATTACAAAATGTCAACCCGAAAAAAATAGTAGATAAAGTGAATACTTGCTAACAAATATGATCTGTAAAATAATGAAGATTTTGATAATTAATTTCACAATGAGTTGCGTGAATGCTATTAGTTTTAATCCCATTAGTTATAATAAAAAATTCTCTAGATTTCCAGATCATCTTCTATTCATGCAAAACAACTTAAGTCTCGATGTCGATCAATGGAACATGTTTCATCGCCGAAATTTTCTGAGGACGAAAATATAAATACCATGTTACTGTATCAGCTTTTACTTCAGGTAAATTGTCTTTAACAGATCAATTTATATACTACTTGTAATTCATTAGCAGTAGTAAAACATTTTATTAGAAGGAATCTCCTCGTCGCCCAGTAGATGAACAAACTTCTACTCACTAAATTTCCATAAATAACTACTACCTGGTTCAAATTTGAAGAGGAATTTCACGTTGTAACTGTATATTCGAAATGGTATTATTGTGAATAATGTTCACCGATAGCAAAAAAGGGGTGTGCCTAAGTATTTTCCTTTGTTTTCTAAAAAAACATTTTTCTTTGTAGTTGTAGATACAGCGTACACAGTACTTCAATTTTTGCAATTTTATCACAAATTAACTAACACGATCGCTGTAGTAGTCCAGTAGTATATCACAGTTATGAGAAATACCTTGCAAATATATGATGGTCAGAAATATACTTGTTTAGAAATGTCCATAATTTGACAAGGAAGGAGATAGCTGAACATGAATAAAAGCCAGAAACCTCCATAGAATATTTCAGTCTTGCTTTAAGTTTATTCAGGCACTTAAATATAATAAAAATACAACAGATTGTTTTGAAATATATATGAAATTAAACCATAAAATAACCCACTTAGAATGGGTACGCACTTTTTTATCCTGACAAAAATATTATAAACTGATCAGTATATGAGTTGGTACACATTCAATATTTATATAAAGTACCCCACTAATCTACATCACAGGTAGGATTAAAGCAGATGACCTCATACATGTATCACTTTATAATATTTCTATTGCTAAAAATTAACTTCTACAAAAGAAAAGTGACTTCTGCATGCGTCCTCTTAATAACTATGAAGCTTATGGTAAGGATGAATATACTAATTTCTATTACCTTAATTTTTACTGAAAGGTTGTGTATTCTAATGTGCTAACTAGCTGAAATGAGGAAAACCTACCGATTGATAGTAAACATATTGGATTAAAAGCTGAGTCAATAACACTGGTGGCTACATCGTAAATCTATCAACAGAATTAGATAAGCTCATAGAAATAGATGTATATGACACTAGTTTTTTACTCAATAACATTCTATCCTAAAACTTAAACCATCTATAATAGTTCCTAAGGATCTAGTTTTTTTTTTGGCACCACGTAAAAATATTCGTTTTTCTCAAGGTTTTCCCAAAAATATATTTAGTAGTTTATCCAGTCACTTTTGAAAGTGCACTTCATTGAATACGTTTTACCACTTATATTTTGGCAATGAATAAAATATGTATGTGCCCATTTATCTCATTAATGAGATAAACGTAGTTCGAAATGGAGGAATTTGATATGTTTCAGTCCGAGATATAAAATCTTTTCAAATCTAGCTTGCACCACGTAAGATTACTTCTTTTTAAAATTAGCGTTTCAACGAGTTTTAGAATAGAGTTTTTTTCCTATTCATTCAAATATATAGATGAACAATGTTGCAGAACTTATCGAGAAACAAAATCTAATATGTGACAAACGTGTTCGCCGTTCATCTTCGGTCGTTACATGAAATTATTAACAAGCAATTCAGTTGGTTTCCTTCTCTAATGAAAACCGATTAACAAGTAGTTCCTCATTACTTAAATTCTGCAAGACTTTATGTATATCACTTCATTATTTGCTAATAAATGTGTTTCTTATTCTTGACTCACTTAGTCCTAAACATTTTTTGCATGATTCTCATATTTGCAATTGATTTTACATTTTATCATTTATTCTTGCAGATTTGATTCTCTTATGTAGAAATGATTTTAGCATGTATTTTTATATTATTCCACATGTTAATCTCATTAAGATGGTATTCAATCCCTTAAGATGATATGGTAATTCAGTGGTGAATGTATTACTTCACGAATCTACAATGTATTGACATTTCGCGTGCATGTGCAAATTCTAAATATGTGCATCTACTGAATACTTTTAAGTAGTATATAGTTATTTAAACAAAACATGTATAGGTTCGTATACTATTTTAAATCAGTACAGTAAAAGGAAGTGACCAAGAGGAAGAATAACAGTAGCGGAAAAAATAGGAAGAGGAGGAATAACTGGATAATTCTAAATTTCGTGGGATCACTTTAACACAGTAAGAATATATCGGACGATTCAACTGATCAACGTCAAGAAAATCATTAACAATTATGTGCAATAAACAGGCAACTCAGAAAAAAAGATACAAATCATTATTGAAAACTTTGAAACAAACTTCGACAGGTGAAAATATTGATAACTGCTTGATCATAGATTAAATACTTTAAAATCTGGATCTTCATTAATTTGTGTATTCTGAGATTTGTACGAAATGATTATGTACAAATATTTCTAAATTGTTTGAAGAAATGATGGTTGACGCTTCATAATTTCTTGCTTTAAAACCATCATGATGTTTACTTCAATGCGATCATCTTCATAATAAATTATCTAGAATAAAGTACTGATCACATACACATAATAATCCTTTTTAGTAATAATTGCTTTAAATAATTCAGCCCACACAAATTTCATTACATCTCATAATTCTAACCAAAATAAACCTCACTATGGACTGATGCATGGAAATATTTGTTTCTGAAGAAAATTATATTTTAAACTTTAAGGTACAGCATAACTAGGTGTAACTTAAACTGATAATACTGCAAAACTGGACGTACAATAAATAGTTCTGAAGTAACAAATCAAATTGTTCATTCAGTTGTGGCAAACTCAAAATTTAGGTAAAAAAAACCCAGTGCATCCGACTACTCAGACTGATTTTAAACCACGTTATCTAAAATTTCCTACGACAGACTATGACAACCCTGCCTAGCAGAACGAGGAAGCTTGAACCTCTTGACATGTTCCAGATCAATAAGTAATGATTTCATGTACTGATGATATACCATAGTCTATCTGTAGCTTGTCTTCTAGTTTAAACCCATCTTAGCCAGTATAATAAGTCGAAATAAGTAGTTTCTTGGTATATGTATCATAAAATACATGTTAAATACTATAAGAGCTTGGATATAGGTTCAAAGACTGTAAATAGAATTCCTTCGACTGAAACACATCACTCCGTAAAAACAATACCGCCCTAACATTTATTTTTGGGCTTTTTGAAACAGAAAGATTGTCGTTACTGTTTTAAACTATGACAGATATGAGATTGTTGAAAAATAGATCGATAATCACTTGTTTAGTACTTACTATATATAAATGTTAGCATGAGTCTCAAACACTTTTGTTTTTAATAATCAGGTCAACAAAGCAAAATAAGAAACCTGAAAATGAATTTATTTTTTCTGTACCTGAAAGTAAATTATTCTGTACAGAAAATTGAATTCATTTTAATGGTTTGTTAATGCCGTCAGAGCATAAAAGAATGCAGGCGTAATGAGTATAAAAATAATGACATGAAATCAGCTTTTCTCAGTGTATAGAGAAGACCACTGAGCAGGTTAATTGAGGTTCTACTAATTTACTCACAAAAATTTATAGGAAATAAAACTTTAAGAAATTTTCTGTTAATTAGTCAATGTATAAGGAATTATAACTCCTTTTAAAGCAGTTAGTTCACGAATTATCTGTAGAAGTGAAATAGCAGTATCTTCAACAGACATTCTAGCTGCACATGGGACATGTATGAAAACAACTCGATCAGGTGAATATTCCAGTGATCTATATTAAACAATAGGATAAATTGATAGAAGTAATAACGGATAGAACTAACTTGTAGTATATATAGCCACATAAAAACCTCCCTGGATCATTGAAATTGAACAAGCAATATGACTATCCACTAGTTTACTGTATGCTTTACTCAAATTCATGTTACAATAAAGGATTGGTTCACCATGAATATTAACACAACCATTATTTCCACAATAAGCGCCATCCATATCTGGTTTATCGTAACCATTATTATACGACAGAGTTTCCAAAATTGGCATCGTCACACTGGCATCCATACCGACATGTATCACTAAATCCTAATGGAAATCAATAAGTTAGACAGATAACACCTAAAAACTATCTTAGTCTGTTGGTATTAAAAACTTTGACTGATAAGAACTAAACACAACGTAAAGTACGAGACTTTGTAATTAAAGACCATTAAGACAATACTTTACACATATTCTCCATAATACGTGAATATATTTTAGTCTGATACAGTTATCACTCCTTTCAAAAAGATTTAAATATCAGTTAAGATTGAAAGGACGAAGGAGTGGCAATTTTGACTTGAATTCCTACTAGACAGCACGTTGAGGGATGTAACACAATAGCATGAAGTATCAGTGTAAAATATGCTGAATACTAATTAAGTTGACTGCCTATAGAGATCTACATTACTGAATTCAGATATTAAATTAAAAAATCCAAAAATAATTATAACCACTTTCCATGTTTTTAAAAAACACCATGTTAAGACATGCCTAAAACCTCACATTCGATTTTATGGGATTATATGAATATAAGAATGCTTTCTAGGTACCTTGAATTCAAACCTTTATCAAGTGAGGTGGTTGAAAGTATATATGCCCAGTCACTGCCTACTTCAACTTGCTTAAAATAGACGTCGGCTGGAAAAGTGGTAAGTGTAACCAAATAGAGACATTTAATTAACAGTGGTAATAATGCATTTCAATATACTATATTGTCAGGAAATACTTAAAAATATGAGAACAATGATACTCCTAAGATCTTTTTTAAAAATTGATCGATCACTGAGCAGCGACCAATGTCATGTATGTTAAGTCTTTCTTTAGTGCTGATCAAATTCTGTCTATAGAGTTGCAATGAGGCCACAAATCTAAGTGACTCGATAATCAAATGCATTATGTTGAGATGTAGGATAGTGGCTGGAGGTGGTCGACATGATATCTTATACCTAGATTTTGCGCTATTTGGCCCTCGTTAGCAAAGTGTTACCTAGTAGTGGGTAAACGAAAACCAAGACATTGCCTCGAAGCAACGAAAAAATATATACACTACATATCATCGACACTTCCAGTTATCACATCTAAAAATGGTCACATTAAAAATCACACCATTTTGATTTATTGGTAAGAAACAGCAGAAAGAAAATAGGCTTTTAAAATAAAGAAGAAACTAGCAACCTATATTCCACTGAAATCGCGCAATTAATAAGATCACAAAGATTAGCTTAAATCAGCTGCATAAAATCTTCAGCTTATACAAAGGTATTTTGCTTACAGGGTTTTCTTTCCAGATAGAATTAACGCATTGGTCAACAGCTTTATACGTAACAGGAACATTCTCTATTGTGTGTAGTTTTATACCAGTACAAGCATCAGTATACGTTTTGTTCCAAATTTGTCTCAAACGATTAACAGCCAACGAACTAGAATTGTATTCGCAACTTCCATAAAGCCCAAAACCAGTGATAATTATGTGCATTCAAGTTTAAAACTTACATGAAAGGGAAGAATTAGAATAAGATAAACTAGTGAACTATTCAAGGAATTTTGTACAAACACTAACTTTACTTAGCTTACTGTTCCATACAATACATCAAAACTTTAATGTGCGGTGCGTCAACCAGTCAGCAACAAAGTAGAACTTCGTAAGTACATGCTAATCTGACCTCATAGTGGTAGAGGTAGTAAAAGTATAGGAATTAATCGGAAAGATTAGGGTTTGAAGATGTTATTCAAGGAGTGTAATCCAGTGAAACAAATCTGGAGAGAGACGAAAAGGGACATGAAGAATTCAGAAAACTGGAATTTGGGAGAACATGAAGAGTGAATCCCCCTACGTCATTGCAAACGACTTTGAGCCATGTCATTCAGGGTCTCTAACCATCGGTTGCTATCATCTCGTGGTCCCCAACCAGGTAGTCTACACCTACCAACATGACTCAGTCCACTTGTCAGTGAATTCATGGACTTGTGCCATGTTTTGGTCTGGCCGCCTTTAGCCTTCTTCCAACCTACTCCTATACCATTGAGTATCGCACGTCGAGGCAGTCGGTGGTTGGGCATACGTAACACGTATCCCAGCCATCTCAACTGTTGAAGGTTTCACTACTTCATCAATTGATTTGCCACCCTTACCTGGTACCCGTTTCCTAACAACTGCGTTACTTACTCGATAGTCCTAGGATATACGGGAAGTGCTTCGAAGACACCTGTGAATATCCTCTACTCTTACCGGCCATGTTTCGCAGGCATAAAGTAGAACGAAGCGAACTGCTGCACAGTAAACACGTCCTTTGGTTGGTAGACGGATATCTCGCCTACGCCACAAATGACACAAGTTGGCAAGAGCTAGTCGAGCCTTCTGTATCCGTGCTGAGATTTCGTCACACACAAGACCACAAAGGCTGATAAGACTCCCAAGTGAAGCAGTCGATACGCTCAACTACTTCACTCCCTATCATTAGTTCAGGTGCCGATACAACTCAATCCTGAAGTAATATTTTGCATTTCGAGAGAGAGGATTGCATCCCGAACCTGTTTACATTGTTGTTTACAGTGGTCAGAAGACTGCATTTTGTCAGCGTCTTCACTAAATAGAACTAGATTATCGACAAATGTCGAGACAAAAAGAATGACACCCCGCAATGTTTGAGGAAACATTGGGGAAAACTCAAAATTTCCACAAAACTTTGGGATCTTCTCCAGACCTGGGGAAATTTCGGGGTTT